ATAAATAAATAAATAAAAACCCAACCAGATGGAAGCCCTCGGCAGGGGAGACCAAACGGCCGAGGGTTAGGGGGAAAGGGAAAGAAACCGGCGGACGATGCGGGCGGTATCGAGGAGCACCGCCTTCTGCATTTGAGCTTGGAGCGGTCCGTCACGGAGTCCCAGTCGCCTCAGATGACCCGAGAGACTGACTGGGATTAACCCGTTCGCAGAAACGACTACAGGTATAATTTCGGCCGGCAGTCCACCCCACATGTCGGTCACCTCGTGAGCCAGGTCCAGATATTTTGTTCGCTTATCTGTTTCGGCTTTCACGAGGTTCTCGTCATATGGAATGGTAATGTCGACCAAAAATATCCTTGATTGTGCCCGGTCCATCAGCACAATATCAGGCTTATTCGCAAGAATGGTCCTGTCTGTGATGATGGCCCGGTCCCAGTAGAGCCTGGCGCGGTCATTTTCCAGCACGGCTTCCGGCATGTACTTATAATAAGGCAGTTTCCGATCCACGAGACCGTATTTCAGAGCGAGCTCCTGGTGTAGAATCCTGGCTACTAGGTTGTGCCTATGCAAGTACTCAGAGTTAGAAAGCGCCGAACAACCGGAGATGACATGCCTAAGTGATTCACCAGGATGGCGACAAGCTCGACAAATGTCGACGGTGCCATCCCTTAGGATGTATCTCCGATAGTTGTTGGTCTTAATAACCTGATCCTGTATTGCACAGACAAAACCCTCGGTTTCCCCGAAGAGGTCACCAAAACGTAGCCAGTGGAGGGAGGCAACTGTATCTACGAAAGGCTCATGTAGAGCCTTGTAGAACCTACCGTGGAGCTCCTTCTCCTTCCATACGGTCTCCCGGTCGGAAATGCTTTGTACTGCCGGGTCTTGCCATTGCTCGTTGGCTAAGGATAGAGGGGTAAGTCCTTTATCACAAAAAATAACGTCCCTATAGAATGGATCATTCGCTCTCAACAGAAAATAATTACGGAGGCTGCACACTTCGCGATTATGCAGGGTAAGCGCGCTTAAAAAGCCGCGCCCACCATGCTTCCGCGGCAAGTACAGCCTCATTACCGACGATCTCGGATGATGCACTCTGTGGGACGTCATTATAGTGCGGACTTTTCTGTCCAGAGCGTTCAGTTCGGTCTGAGTCCACCTGAGTATGCCAAAGGTATACATGAGAACAGGCATGATCCAGCCGTTATAAGCGTGTGTCTTATTAACGCCCGACAAAAGCCTGTTAAGCATTTTTGTCAAGCGTGCATAAAACACATCGCAAACTAACTGCTTCATACCCGCCTCATCGACACCGATGTTCTGTGACATACCCAGGTATCGGTATGTTTCAGCCTCGGAAAGGGTCCTTATGCTGATGGGCATAGATAAGTCCATGCCCTCAGAGTTAGCAACCCTTCCCCTTTCGACATGGAGGATCGCACACTTATCCGTCCCCAGCTCCATTCCAATAGAATTGCTAAAATCACAAGTGATGTTTAGCAATTCCACAAGATGGGAGCGACTGGAGGCGAATAACTTGAGATCATCCATATAGAAAAGGTGGGTCACTTTTGTACCTCCTTTCCGAAGCTGAAATCCCCTCCCGGAACCCTCCAGTAAGGTACTGAGAGGGCTCAGAGAGAGGCAAAACCAGATTGGACTCAAACAATCGCCCTGGAAGATACCCCTTCTTATCCTTATGTGGCTCTCCGCAGCCGTCATCCGCTGGCCTAGATGACAAAGGATCGTACTCCACTGCCCCATACACTGCCCGAGGAAGTTTCGAACCGTACAGTCAACCTTGTACAGCTCGAGGACCCTCTTAAGCCATGTATGAGGCACCGAGTCGAATGCCTTTTTGTAGTCTATCCAGGCGGCGGAGAGATTCCGACGGTTGCGTTTAACCACCTTGCCAATGACCGCGTCAATGAGGAGTGGTTCCTTGGTTCCACGACCACCGCCCCGACATACATTTTGAGCGCGCGACATCACCTGATTTGAGTTCAGGTGACGAGTGATTCTCGCGCTCAAAATGGATGTCAGTGTCTTGTATATGGTAGGTAGACACGTTATGGGGCGGTACTTGCTCGGGTCTGTGGAATCCCGGTCTTTAGGAACCAAATGAGTGATCCCAGTAGTGAAGAGGCTCGGGAGCGACTTTTGGTCGAGAGCCTCTTGAAACTGTCGGGCGAGCACAGCGTGACACACCACGAACCCCTTCAGCCAGTAGTGATGCAGTCCGTCGAGTCCCGGACTTTTCCAGTTCGGGGCCCTACGGATCGCCTCAGCTACATTATCCGGCGTTATGATGACGGGGTCCATGGGCGTAATATTCGCACACTGACTCGCCACAACTTCCGTCAAAGGGCCCTCGCTGTGGTTTACGGGCTCTGACCACAGGCCGCGCCAGAATGCGATAGTGTCGGCCTGTTTCGGTGCTGGGCCCGTTCCACGTACCATCGGTCGCTCCAATGATTCATAGAGCCTCTTCTGATCACTCTGGAAGAGACGATTCTGGTTGAACCGTGTCGACATCTCGGTATATCGCCGAATTCGCTTCCCCCAAGCAGCGATTCTCTGCTTCAGGTCGTCTATGCGCTCCGTCAGTTTTTGCGTTATATCCGGCTGGGACAAACTGATATTTGTCCCAGCAAACGCCATCCTGACGGTGCGCACAATTCTCGGCCTATTATTGCCCAACCTGAAGCTTATCAGTCTGCCGATGAGGACCCTTGCCTTTGCGATACGGTCCTCAATCCTTCTTTTCCAGGCTGGGATGGCGCTACTTTGTCTAGTAGCGCGTCCAGCCGTGGGAAGTTTGGCGCCAATAATACGGCAAACTGCCAGTGCGGCGCCAAAAAGAATTGAGTCCGTCTCGCAAAGGTCCCGGCTGGCTTCCAAATAGGTCACCAGCATTGGGTTAAGAGCCCTCACGACAGCCCGATTCCGCTTGCTTAGGGTTATGCGCGATAGTCGCGGTCTATTTTCGAGAGGCGTACTGCGCGTTTCCACAATCGCCTCCTCCAATTTACTCCTCATCTGCTCTAGTTCTTGGGTGACCATTCCATCATCGTCTGAATCAACTACAACTGGAAAATCCGCGGCGGCATCGACGTGTGCAGATTGTTCTGCAATTTGTGGCGTCGCATTACCAGCTGCAGCATTTTCATCCGATGAGGGAACGGCCTCACGTCGTAGTCGTTCGAGTTCGGCGTCACCAAATATGTTGGATCGCAGGATGTACCGAACTCGGTCTGCCAGGTTTTGCTCTGATACATGAACAGATGGCTCCAGCTCCGCGAAAAAGCGATGCATCCGAGCCCGATACGCCAACATTCCAGTTTCTTCCCCTTTTGCCCTAAAATACGCTCGCAATGCGTTTGCGTTCATGATTTTTGTCCAACGCATGCGACGTGTTCCACCAGCGGTGGGTGCCACTTGCTGAGTCCGAGAAGACCCAGCCGACACCAAGCCCTCTGGTGGGGATGATGGATGCGGGCGGCTACTAGGTGGTCTTGCAGCCCCCCGCGCTTGGCTGGCGACCCGCATCCTGTCGCGTCCAGCGCCAGCTCCAGACGCGCCCTGGCGACCTCCAGGCAGCGGCCCTTTGCGCACTCTTTTATTTTCCATCATCCATTGTATGGGCGTCAATTAAAGGGAGACGCCCAGGCCCGGCACCGTTTTATGGTGCGGCCATAAGCACAGACGGACCTTTGCACCCTCAATTCTGCCGAGGCACGGCGCACACACCTCTTGGCAAGGCGCTGACTGACTGCACTGACGTAGCACTTTTGTCACTTAACTGTTACGTCAGCGGGCGGTGGGGTCGTCACTTCCCTACGCCTATTTATTATTATTATTATTAATGCTTTTCGAAGACTAAAAGCAAATTTTTTAAGACGATGTAGACTGTGTATCGAAGTTAATGGCCGCCATTTCGAAAATTTACTTTAAATAAATTTATCTTAAATTATTTACCAGTTTTATTATGAATCTTGAAATCATTTGTCCAGAACGTAGTAAAAAATAATACCTTGTTGTTAATAAATTTTAAACAATAAGTAAAGACACTGGATGTTATTTTTGCTAACCTGAAGCATTTACTATCTTAGTTTAGCCTTAGAAATGATAAAAAGATTTTTTAAATCAAATTAACTATTCAGGTAGTTTCGTGCCTGAGTAAATTCAGAAGTCTGTAACAGAAAAACTGGCCTATTAAGTGTCATTTTTTTTATGTTATTATTTAAGATTAAGGTACTGCCAAGTTTTTAAAAGTAATTAGAAAGTATGAAATCATTTATTACTATTTTTCATTTAATGTTGAAAATTCAAGCCCCACTCTCCTGACAGAATTTTTTTAAGTTTCGATTAAAATTATTGTATCTTCGGTGAATGTTAGGAAGCTCTTTTTTTTATGCATAATAACAATAAGGAACTCATAAGGATCATGCTACAAACAAAAAAACTTGGAAAAAATCTCACAATTACATTTTTTTTAATGTTAGGCTGTTTAGGGTGAACATTTTCAAAAAAAGGATAAAAAAAATCATAACTCGAAAACTACAAAAAATCGTGGAACATACATAGGGTATTCGGATACCCATAGGTATGAGGAATCAAAAAAAATTTTATATCCTCACTGTTTGGACCAACCTGTATATTATATGACTGCCTCGTAGGTCGTGGTCGTAAACGTGGCCGCTGATCATGTCGTCCCAGGTTCGAATCCACAGCCGGGCCAAAATATTGGCTTCTTCTGTCAAGATATACTCAGTATCCGCCTGGGGTCAGGTTGACAAGTTGACAGTATATCACCCCCTGGCCTCGGAAAGCACGTAAAGCCGTTGGATCTGCGCCTGATCTCTCTCCGGTCGTGTCGGTTTACCGTCCCATCGCACTATGAGAGTGAGGCAATAGAGAGTGCACCTGTGCTTGCACACACTCGTGCACTATAAGCCTGTCCTGTGCAGATGGCTAGTCTCCGTTGAGACTGGTTGTTAGATATCCAGATGATACCAAGCGTTATGTATGTCTGAATATTTACGGAACCTTAAAAAGAAGTGCTCACAATCTCCGGTGCCCAGCCGGTGTCCTCCATTCTCTTCCAGCTTCTTAAGCTTCTCCATTGCCTCTGCTCTCTTCCGTTCTTCACGCTGAAATATATTTACGACATTAATCATTAAATATTGCAGGTACTATCTGATACTTCGTCCGCGTTGCTTACACACATCACTGAACACGTACTGCTTACAAAAATTGTTGTTTCTTAAAACTTTAATAACTTTATATTAAATTAAGATATCGCAATAATTTTTGTTTTAGATAAGGGACATGTGTATAAGAAATAAAACTTAGAAAACCTAAATGAAATCTATCCACAAGTATTTCCGTGATGCGCGTTACAGCCTATTGAAGTCCACTGCTGAACATCATAGGGAGGGGATATTTGCCATAGTTGTAATGTTACTGTTGGCTTAATAATTTCACCTCTCAGTGGATCATGTGCTCCTGGTAGATTATCTTCTATACATCCATCCATTACAACCTATTAAAGTCACAGATATTGCCTCATAGGGGGATATTTGCCATAATAGCAACGTTTGGCAAGCGGGTTGGCAACCGTAGTTATTTTTTTTATTTTGAGTTGCTATTGGAAAGTTGCTGCTGCCCATCTGTTTCATTTTCCCTCTGTCGCCTCTCACGACACCCACAGACGATATGGAGTAGTGAATATTCTTACACCGCCACTTTAAATACACACACACGCCACATTAAATACAGTATGAGCCGTTAATTTGGAAGTTTTAAAATCATTTATATTATTAATTTTAGTCAATCTTGAACTGAATTTCTTAAAGCCTTTCGGTTTCAGCTCTTGCTTCGACCAGAAATCGACCTGTTTATACAAACCCAGATGAAACCTAGACAGGTAAGACTCTTCACCACCTGGTCTAAGTTTTGGAAGCACTCACCTCTCTCCGTTCCCGCAGAGCTCTGGCGGAAGCTTCTTCTAGAAGCTTCTGTTGACGCTCGCGAGCCAGTTGAATAGCTTGCATCCGAGCTAACGCCGTGTCGGGATCTGTGGACAAGCGACAGAATCTCTAGGGTACATACTTCATAATATGATCGTTTTTTTTTTTTTGTGAAAACTTCTTTACAATAGTTGTGATTTAAAATTTGATGAAACGGAAAAACTAAGAAGAGACAAACATGTACATCTATAGGATTTATCCAGCGAGAGAATGATTTTTATGTTTCCTATTATCTTGGTCTCCTCTTTGTGCGATACTGTAAATATTGTTATATATATAACTTTATAAAAACATTATATATACAAATTAATATATATATATATATACAATATATATATATATATATCCTCGTAAGGCCCAAGACAAAAATTGGATGCAACCAAATACCGCCCAATGTTCTCGGTGGAGAACTTAATAAACATAACGCTTACCGCCCAGACCGAAACGAGTTCATTAGAAAGATTTCTAGGAAAGGTAGAACTAAACACTTTATGTGCCTCATATATAACACCCCTATGAGCATATTTTTAGAACTTTTAAGGCGATTATTTTTGTTCTCATGTGAAGACATTGGGTCGTTGTTGCATTTTACCTAAAGTTTTATTTGTGATCAGAGAAATAAAAAATATAAAAAATTTCAACATTATACTTCTTTTACTCCTTATTTAACATAATAAACTTAAAGCGTGCAGCAGCTGGAATTCTGTTCTTCATGATAGTGCCTGTGCAACTAACTCCTCTCTTTAGAAGTTCATTTGCCAGTTTTATTGAGGTGCAGTATCGGTCGAAGTAAAGTATGTGTCCTGGGACAAGGGTATTAGCTAAAGTGATTACAGTTTTCTCTCCCAATCCATTGTTTGAATCTTCTAACTCTTTGTAAGTGGTTGACCTTTGATAGACATGAAAATCTGTCACTATTCCACTGGGATTTGCAAGAATAAAGGCTTTCATACGAACTGGGTTTGTTTTGCTGGGGCAATATTGTTTAATTCCACATGTAAAGGCACTGTCATTTCGTCAAGAGACATGTCTTTTTCTTTTTCTTATACCCTACATCCTTCTTTAATTCGCTGTGTCAAAGGTTTGATTTTCCATAACTTATCTTCCGCACGTTCAGCTTGACTAACATTGTCATCAATTACAAATTTGATAGAGTTTCTTTGATTTCTATTAATCTGTAACGGGACATATTATCCGCAATTATCGCCATTCTCCATTTACTTTCCCAGTACGTTCTTATTACTGGATAGTTTACAGAATCCATAACGAACGTAATCCCGATGTACACGTAAAAATCACTCATATCTAAATTCATGCTTCTTCTATGCAATTTTACTGAAGTTTGGTTTGTTTTTTCAACGAGTAACTGTATAAACTTATCATCTATATATTTTTCAAAATATGTAACTTTTTCAAAAAAAAAAAGTGGCAAATAAGTCAGCTGCGATAATTTCATTTCTTTCGGTGAGAATAGTTACTTAGGCCAACCAGGTAGTGAAGTTTTAGTCACTGGTAGAGGAAGTTATATTGCTGCTACGATCACGATTATTTCCACGAGTAAAGCCACGACGAGCACGTGATGGAGTTTGCTGTACTATTCTTTCTTCGTGGATTGTTTCTGGCTCTGATCTTTCAGAATCACTCGAACTAGATAAATGATCTAACTCAAGTCTAAAAGGTGGGTCATGGTCATCCAAATCTTCATCACTAGGTGCGAAGTCTTCAATCTCCAATTCGTTTAATAATTTAGAAACATCTTCATCACGCAAAACTATAATATATAGAAATAAGTACTATAAAAACAAAATTCTTCAATTTTCTGAAAAGCGATTACTTAACTGATTAACACCCAATGACCTCACATAATACCAAATAAAAAATGACTGTGATTGTAACTACCGCCCCGTGTGATTGTTCAATCACATATTTTTTTAAATCAAAATAATTTTTTATGCACAGTAGTATATGGAAAAATAATACAATATTTATGTAAAACAAAATGTAAATTTCATGATTATAAATGATTTGTTGGAAAAATAAACGGATTTATTAAATAAATCAAGATCAAAACTCACAATGACGATGCGTGTACTCCATGTTGGCTCAATTCAGTTTAAAATGAAGAGCAATCTGTGGTTGGTTGCCTACTTGCTCTTGATCTAAATGTTGCTAGCAAAAGGGCCAATCAATGATGTCTAATAAGAAATACAATATCCGCGAATTTTTTAATCTAGGAACAAAAATATAATTTGTCCTCAGTCGATGACAGTGGGCGGTAATTTTGATGACAATATTTTTCGTATTGGGCCGAAACACATAAATTATTAAGTACTTCTCTGATCACATTGGGCCTTACGAGGATATATATATATATATATATATATATATATATATACAAATTAATAAAATTAACCTGAATAAAATTATCATATCCAATCCATTCATAACAAACCGCAATTTCATAACTTCCGTTTCACGTACTACCTTGAGAGTCAACCAATTTTTGTTTGTTACAATTTTTTATTTTTATTTTAAAAAACGTTACCCCCACACTAGGATTTTCTCCTGTATCGTGGAGGCAGTTTACAAACACAATTTTTTTTTATAGGAGAGGGGTCAAACGAGCATGCGGCTCACCTGATGGTAAGTGACTACCGCCGCCCATGAACAGCTGCAACACCAGGGAGGGAATCGCAGATGCGTTGCCGGCCTTTTAAAAAGGAGTACGCTCTTTTCTTGAAGGTCCCTAAGTCGTATCGGTCCGGCAAAATCGCTGATGGTAATCGATTCCACAAGGAAGTCGTGCGAGGAAGAAAACATCTTCTAAATCGCACAGTGGTGGACCGCCAATCATCCAGATGGTGTGGATGGTATCGGGAGTTCTGCCGCGATGTGCGTTCGTGAAATTTGGCGGCTGGGATTAATCCAAACAATTCCTCAGAGCACTCCCCGTGGTAGATGCGAAAGAAAATGCAAAGGGATGCAACATCTCTTCGCAGTGCCAATGAACCGATCGGAAAGGACTCGGTCGTCGACGATTCGAGCCGCTCTGCGCTGGATGCGGTCAAGTGGAAGGAGCTGGCACTGGGGAGCCCCTGCCCAGAAATGGGAACAGTATTCCATGTGAGGCCGAACCTGTGCCTTGTAAAGTTGCAGGCGGTGTGCCGGCATGAAATACTGTCCCACTCTGCTGAGCACGCCAACCTTTTTAGAGGCCAATTTGGCCTTCTCTTCCAAGTGACCACGAAACTGCACGTCACTCGATATGTCGACTCCGAGGATTCCGATACTGGCTGAAGCAAGAAGGGGAGTGCCTTGAAACTGAGGAGATACGACAAAGGGGTTCTTTTTAGCGGTAAACGCGCAAACTTGTATCTTCTGAGGATTAAACTGGACTAGATTTAGTCGCCCCCAATCCGAGACTTTGTTCAGCAAAGACTCGACTTCAGACACAAGTTTGTTCCGGTACTCGGCGACGTTTTCCCGAAAAATATTGGCACGGCCGGTGTATAGAGCATTACCAGTGCTGTCATCCGCATAGCAATGAATGTTACCAGTTAGCAACATATCATTGATATGTAGAAGAAACAGCGTTGGTGATAGCACACAGCCTTGTGGAACACCAGCGTTAATAGGCTTGTAGTCGGAGCATGCACCGTCTACAACGACCTTGATGCTCCGATCTGCAAGAAAGCTGGTGATCCAATCGCACAATTTCTCGGGAAGCCCATAGGAAGGGAGCTTCGAAAGAAGCGCTTTGTGCCAAACCCGATCGAAGGCCTTCGCAATGTCCAAACTAATGGCCAACGCCTCCCCCTTGAACTCTACTGCCTCTGCCCATCTATGGGTCAGGTAGACCAGAAGATCACCAGCTGATCGACCCCGACGAAAACCGTATTGGCGGTCACTAATCAGCTGGTGATCCTCAAGGTACCGCATGAGCTGGCAGTTAATAATTGATTCCATTATTTTGGAGAACAAGGAGGTGATCGCGATAGGCCTATAGTTGGAAGGGTCTGAGCGGTCGCCTTTTTTAGGGATCGGGTGGACAAAATATGTCTTCCACGAATTCGGGACTACGCCTTGGGAGTAGGAGTACCGGAAAAGACGCGTTAGGACCGGTGCGAACTCCGGAGCACACGTCCTCAGCACAATTGGGGGGATTCCGTCAGGCCCACTCGACTTCTGGATGTCCAGGGAGAGGAGTGCTTTGCGAACCGAGCGCTGATTAATGACTTACCTTACATAGTAGGAGATAACCATGATATAGTATTATTTGCAGATGACACTTCTTTAATTTTCAAATTAAGTCGACAATTGCTAAAATATGACGAAGTAAATAATGCTATATCTAAATTAGTAAATTGGTTCAATGTTAATAATTTGCATTTAAATGGCACTAAAACGAAATGTATGAAATTTATGACTCCAAATGTCAAACAATTAAATGCTAATGTAATTTTAAATGGGGAGAAACTGAGTCTTGTAGATACCACCATTTTTCTTGGAATCACACTAGACGCGAAGCTTCAATGGAGCCCCCATATATCAAAACTAGCAAGCAGACTTAGTTCTGCAGCATATGCCGTAAAAAAGATTAGAAGTCTAACTAGTGTTGAAACAGCTAGACTAGTTTACTTTAGCTATTTCCATAGCATAATGTCGTATGGTATTTTGCTATGGGGACACGCAGCTGACACTGAAATTATATTTGTTTTACAGAAGAGGGCCATAAGAGCAATTTATGATTTAAAGCCTAAAGAGTCGCTGCGACAAAAATTTAAGGAAATTAATATATTAACTTTGGCCTCTCAATACATTTATGAAAATGTAATGTACGTACACAAAAATAAAAGTAGCTTCACAAAAATAAGTGATATCCATTCTGTAAATACTAGGAACAGACACAAGCTAGTAGTACCAGTTACTCGACTCCATCGAGTCAGTAATTATTTCTTGGGGCGATGTATACGCTCTTACAACAAAATTACAGAAAATATACAAAATTTGACCTGCTCAAAGTTCAAAAACTTTATTAAACTAAGTTTGTATAAAAA